ATATACATTTTTTTTTTTTTGGCGGGGTTGTGCTGGGGATCGAGCTCAGGACCCTGTGCTTACAAAGCAGGTGTGGTGCCACTGAGCTAAACCCCAGCCCTAAGGATTACATAAGGAGAACTGGGAGTGTAGTTTTTCCGTGGAGTAAGAGAACTACCCTTGGTGTAGGACATGTTTTAGGGAAGCATCCCGTCTGGCTCACTCTCACCTGTACCCCAGTAGCCATGAGCGTGCCCGTCCCACAGTAAGCAATCCACACAGGCTGACTGACTGATTCCTGAGCGGTAGATGTGTCAGTGACCTGATGAACACATTTCAATTCCAGACGGAAAGAACCACTCTGACACCCCGATCACCTCGCTCTCTCTCCCTCCCTCCTGCTTTTTCCTGTGTGTTTATACACACACCGCAGAAACAGACGTGTAGAGTATGCGCAAGAATACAGTGTGCTCACATTTAGGTTTTGCTGAACCTGTTTTTAATTCCTGTGTATTTTATCGCCAGCATATCAGGTATACCAGAAACTGAAGAACAAACACAGACAGAAGAGCCCAGATTGCGCAGAAGTCCCCGCTGAGCAGAAACCCAAAGAGACCAGTACCTTCTTGGAGTGGGATGAAGCAGTGGCTGTAACCCCTGGGCCATCTGGGTCAGGAGGTCACCGTGGAGCTCTGGGGCCAAGCAGCCCCCTTACTTCCTGCGAATAGTGTGGACTTACTGGCCAGACAGGTCCTCTGCCTTCCAGAGCAGCCAGGAAAGATGGTGAGAGCTGCTTCCTGGATCCCCTTGGCAGAGTCTTGTGAACGTTTGAACATCAAATGTTAGAAACCTCGTTTGAATTTTTGTGTGGTTTGTGAGCTGCAGCCAGATCACCTTCTGAGGTGTTCTGCCCTTTCAAGGAGCTCTTTGGGGTCGACACGATAGGGTCACTGCAAGTGTTCCTGCCAAAGGGGTGGGACCTTCAATGCCAGAGGCACCCTTCCAGAGGGTGTGCATGCAGCAAGTATCAGGACTCAGGGAGATGTGGTCTCTTGTGCAGTGCCAAGCTGAGCCTGAGTCCCTGTCACTTCCTGACCCAGATCAGGTCCTTGGATAACTCAGGAGGAGACTGTATCTCTTACCCCCCCCCCCAAAATGGGGCCCTTTTCTCAAATGACTGTTACCCATGAAGAGCTAGACCCACAAGTGCAAGGTACTGAGTTCGATCCCCAGTACAAAAGAGCTGGAGTATCTTTTTTGCTTGCAGACATTATGGAAGTTTAGATGGAAGCTAAAGAAAATGTGAGGGCAGAAAGCAAAGGACTGTACTGTCAGTCCCTAGAGATGGATGCATCCACATGCGTCCTGATCTGTGTGCACACTGAATCCTTTGCAGAACATGAGACGGTTCCACAGCTGTGCTGCTTGGCAAGGCAGAGTGACCTTACAGAGCCTCTGTACGCAGGAGCCTGCGGCCTGCCTCACTCTGTACGGCAGCAGTGCCCAGGAAGTGTCACCACGCACTGAAGGACTGTACCTCCTCACCCCGGCTGTATTCACGCACAGCGTGTGGAGGCCCCGCGCCAGCACTGAAGCACTTTGTCACGCCGGCCTGACCAATGTGGCTCTGCATCCTGGCAATGCCTGCTGTCTCACGGCTTCGCCGGACCATGGCATGGGTTCTGACCCACCTCTCTTAAAACCCATGTTCAAAATTATGTGTGAAGCAGAGCATTTATGGTCTTTGCCCATTTGTGTCCTTTGCCTGCGTCTGCACTGCACTGTTTGGCTTTATAGACCTTACCACATCCCGATACTGGCGATGCGTTTGTCCCACGTCGCCAACTCTTCACTTACGGTCTTTCCTATTGTTTTACTGCAATGGAAAATTTTGTAGTTTACATTTTCAGCTTTATTAGTCTTTTAAAATATTTAAAAATACTATATATCAGAATATTTATATTTTTGGTGAAGATGTACTTGGCTCCTTTTCGGGGACGTAACATGTTTATTCACTGTGGTGTGTGCGTGTCTTCCTGTTGGTGAAATGATCCTGTCGTAGGCAAACCCCGCTTTCTCTACGTGGACAACATTAAAGATACTTTCCCCTATATTTTTCTACTATTTTGATGGTCTGAAGATGTACACATTTATCCTGTTTTTGAATGTAATTTTTGGCATGTTAAAAATCTAATTTTTTATGCTTCATTATTCCAGAGTTACATAGCTAATCAGTGTCTTAGTTACTTTGTTGTTGTTGGGAGAAAATACCTGATACCCACAAGTTAGAGGAGGAGAAGTTTATTTTGGCTCCAGTGACAGAGGTTTCCCTCCATAGTCAGGGGGCTAAAAGGCAGCATGGCAGCATGGCCTGGCTGCAGGACATTGCAGAGAGAAGCAGCTCCTGGAGAGGCAGGAGAAGCAAAGAGGAATCAAAGGAGGAGGAAGGAGATCACCTTTCAGGTTATGCCCGTAGGGACCCACCTCTTTCTACGAGGCTTCACCTCCCAATATCACGTTCACTCATAAACTCAGTGGACTCACCCGCTGGTGAGATCGCACACCGTGATCCTGTCATTCTCCCAAGCCCCGCCTGTGAGCACATGAGGCTTCAGGGTGACAACTAGATACAAACTGTAGCAATCATTCATCTTTGCTATACTGACGAAACTCCACTTTTATCACACGCTTTTCCTACATAATGTGTTTTCATTTCCATTTTTTGTTCCATTTTCTATTTTTATTTGTAAAACGTGAGAAAGTATACTACTTGAGATTTAATACTTTTGTACAATTTGATTTCCCAATACCTTGTGGTTTAATCTGATGCCAGTGATTTTTATGGTCTTTTTATAATTCAGGAAGTCATTGTGACTGTGAAGACAGGGTCCCATTAGGTTCTGATGGAATTCTGTATGGAAAGGAACCATGAGCTCACCTGTAGCATGATGGTTGAGTTCTCACCATGGATCCCCACTTGCCCACCTGGTGACTCTGGACTGAGGATCTTGGTGCTCTGTGCAGGGTCACGGTCGTGCAGCAGTCACAGGCAGGAAGGGTGCCTGTGAGGGGTACAGGACAGTGGAGAACAGATCACTTCAAAGATATGCTTTGCAGAGTTGTGGTTGTGATGTCCCATGCCTATATTCTCAGCTAATTGGGAGGCCGAGGCAGGAGGATCCCATGTTGGAGGCCATTCTGGGCAACTTAGTGAGATCCTGTCTCAAAGGGGCTGAGATGTAGCTCAGTGCTCCCTGGGTTTAATCTCTAGTACTGGGGAAAAAAAGTGGGAGGAAGAGAAGTGATACCCGGGTCCAAAATGAATGTTACCATGAATTTGAAAGAATCCATAAAAAACAAATTTCTAAATCCCTTCTGTACAGACATCTAAGGCAAAATGGTGAAATTCAGCTCTCTGTTCTGAAAGCATTAGTGTCATGGATGGTATTTACCAGCCAGGACATCCCCAGGATGAGGGGACAGGTCTACCATGGGGATCTTTAAGTCAGAAACACAAGCCATTGTGAGGGCCTGAAAGTCCTGCCAGAAGACCTTCATTGGACAGGGCTTGTGAACAGGCTGCCGAGCACTGGGGCATCTGGCTGCTTGACAGCCCATGCACTGGGTCTCACTGTGTAGCCCACGCTGGCTTCAAACTCATGGCAATCCTCCTGCCTCACAGCCTCTTGAGCACTGGGATTACAGGCCTGTGCCATCATGCCTGGCTGATGCATGAATTTTAGAACGCAGACCAGAATGAATAAGTGCTAATTATACACAGCATATTTTAACTGGTTGGGATAATCTCGAGTTCCTAAAAGCTGGGGCTTCTGTGAAATGGGAAGTGGGGTGGGGAAAGCATGAGGCTGGAGGCCAGCTGTGCAGATGAGCCTGACAGACAGCATGCGGCAGATCTGGAATGGAGCCCTTACCTTGGGGCCAATGACCTGTCTGAGCCAGGCCTTCTCACGTCTTGAGAAGCCAGGCCTGGGAGGTGATCACTAATGTGGCGTCTCCTCTTTGCGCTGTCGCAGTGGAGGGCAGTGATTGACAGGGCCATTAGCCATCACCCTCCTCTCTGGGTGACCTTAACATTGGCCTTGGCATACATCTCCCTGGCAGGAGCGGCCTGATGCCAGGCTCCCGCATCCTGAGAGCTCCTCATGGGCTGGCCAGTCGCAGCACTTTGCTCATGGCCTGCTAGTTTGCTGAGCATTGTCTTAGGTATCTGGGTCATTTTTAGTGAATAAAACATTTCTAAACTCATAAAACTGAAGACTACTTTCAAATATTTCTGTAGATGTCTGCAACAGTTATAAAAAGCAGACACTTCTGGTTCAGGAAGATCTTAAAAGATTGATGATGTAACTAAGGCATGTTGGAAACCGAGCACACTGCTTGCTTTCTCTTCTCTATGAATAGAACCAAGATGGCGCTCAGGACCGTAATATGCTTTGCTAACACTCAATGTACTGAAGCTGGCACGCATGTGACACGGTTCACCCTGAAGACGGAAGAAAAATCTGCTGACTCCTGGGAAATCTTGCTTTTGTGCCACAGCACTGATGGGCCCTTTCTCCATGTCTATCGCCTCGCAGATGCTACTGTTTTCTTTCTGGACTATGGATGCAGTAAGTGCAGCTGCATAGAGACCATAGAGAATCAAACCTAGGAACAGCCTTCTTCCGAACTTGTTTTCTAAAGAAAAGTAAACCTCACTTATTTAAGTCCACTTGGTTAGTTTTTCATTACTCTCATTCAAATACATTCTTAAATTGATACATAAAGATTTTGTTGGTTTTAAAATTTTATTCAGGCTGGCCTCTACTTTGTCATGTTTATTTCCACCATAACAGTGTAGCTTGAGTATTTATAAAGTAAGAAAAATGGGAACACGTTCTTTCATAAGACATCAATTAGTGGAACATAGCTGTGGTAAACTATTCTAATTCCTCGTTTTTAATCACATTACATTTGGATGAGTCATTTTAAAGCCAGGAGATCTGGCAGGCGATTTGGAACCACATGTGTAAAAATCTGATCTCTTTTCAACACCCATTTCTCTCCTGTTCATCATAATTCAGAAGCATTTCTAATAATGATATCTACCAAAGTTTTGATTTTATGACAAAATTGTTTCTAATTCCACAAAGCTTCTGACTACTGATATCACGTTAAAAAAATGAGCACATATTAATACACGTATGCATGGGGCTAAGTGTGGTATTTTCTTTTTTTTTGGTACCAGGGATCGAACTCCAGCCCTTGCGCTTGTGAGGCAGGCAGTGGAACCACTGAGCCAAACTCCCGGCCCATGAGTGGTATTTTCATACTTGGGTGCAGCATGTATCGGTTAGATCTAACCACTCCACACCCTTTCACCCTCACTATCCCCCTTAGCCCCTGTGCCCAGCAGCCACTATTTTCCAGGTTGTTTATAAAATTTCCAATGAGAGAATATATATATATGGTTCTTGTCATTCTATGCCTATCTTACTTGGCTTAACATGACAAACCCTGTTTCATCCTTTTTGCTACAAATGGTACGATTTCATTTTTTATAGCTGATAATACTCAATTGTATTTTATTTTTTTTGTTGTTGTTGTTCATTGTTGATGGGCATTTAGGCAAATTCTGACTTTGCTATTGTGAACAGTGCTACAATAGGCAGGGGCATGTAAATATCTCCTGGGATGCTGTCATTTCTTTGGGTCTGTACCTAGGTGTGGGGTAGTTATACCATACAGTAGTTCCATTTTCAGTTTGAGCAGCCCTAGTGGCTACTGCTTTATATCCCCAGCAGAGTGTAAGACTTCTTTCTTCCCACATTCTCTCTAGCACGTCATTTTGAATATAAAGCTGTAATTGTTTTATAAATATCTTCCATTTTGACTTGTGCTCCCCTTCTGTAGCACTTCGTCGCGGCTCAGCCAACTTCCTGTAGCGTGGGTGCCATGTGGCCAGCTCTTGCTGATGCAGTGAATGGCTGTGAGGGGCTTGGCTTCTGGGCCTGGCCCAGCCGTACAATCTCTGCACACATCCCCCTGCGCTCTCTCCTGGTGGGGGGAATGGAGAGTCCCATGACGATCTTGGAAGCTGTGGCTGACCACAGAATGCCTGGAAGCTTGGCAGGAAGGAGTGGCCTGCCATGCCATGCAGTTCACCTACCCAGAGTTATTAGGTAAACTGCATAGAAATGTTTGAAGGATATGTTTTGGGTTTATGTGTTCTAGTAGTTAGCTGCAACAAGTGTAGGAAGAGCTGCGCTGTGCTTACTGATATTGGAGGGCCTCCCAGGGAGGTGTCTCTTTGGGCCTCACCTTGCCTTCAAAGCCACCGCGTGGCTGTATCTTCCATGGTGGGGTGTCAGGTCCCAGGGGCATACAAAAACATGTTTATTATACTAGAGCTCCCATTCTGGTGTCACCTGCATTTCTTCCCAGTTTCCATTTCCAAGCCACATGCTTTCCAGAGCAAGTGTCCTCCACCTGTGCCTCCTCCACTCAGCGTTGACTTCAGACAGGAGCTCACAGCCCAGCAGCCCTGGCTGCCACAGCCTTTGAGCCCAGTTTTATATGTCTATGACTGGGAGACCAGGCAGGACTTCTGCTCACTCAGGACAGGGTTTCCCAAGGGCTTTCAGAGCAACAGAAAACATTTTTTTTTCAACTTATGATATTGGACTACAACTCTGAGGTGAGAATGGTGGTAGGGAAGCTTCTTGTCAGATTCTGAGTCAGTTCTGAGTGGAGAGTGAAACATTACAAAGGAGCTTTGTGTAGTCACATTACCTTCTGCCTGTAGAGCCCCCTCTCCAGGAGTGGAGCCCAGCAAGCCGCCACACTTGGGGAAAAGCGGATTCTAGTCTGCAGGCTCAGAACTGGTGCAACTGTAGGTCTCAGGATGGGACAAGGGACACGAAGCATCAGGATTAGGGAATTGGGCGTGGGACTCAGAACATCACCATGTTGAAGCAGGCTCTTTGAGGCCGATCCGTTTGCCTTCCTATATAGCACAGCCACATAGAAAGGTAATAATGCTGTTGTGTGATCACTCCTTGGTCAGCTGAGAATCCTGAATATCAGTTGCAAATATTCTGATTCACATATCAGTTAGGCAACAGGCACAGAAAGCTGGTGCCACCTGCAAGGGGTGGAAGAGGCTGAACTTCACTGATGCTGTCAGCTGTCCTGGCCATGTTAGCCCTAATGAAGATTTACTGGATCCCTGATAAACTCCCACTGCCTGTGGTTGGCACAATGGTGACCAACTGAGTGGATGGGAGATTGTCGGGTCAGAAGGTCTCTGGATTCCCAGAGGCCTGGTTTTTGTGAAAAATTAACACTGAAAATGTGTTTCTGCACATTTTTATTTACAAAGTGAGATGCTGCAGTACAAACACATGATGCAGTTAACTCTGTCGATGCAGATTTACTCTGTTTATGAAAAAGTATATAAATATATTCCAGGATAATCTATGTAGTAAACATTAGAAATTGATAAACATCTGCTACTTTTTCTACACCAATATTACTACCATTTAAAGCTTAAATACTGGTTTCAAGTATCCCCTATAAAATAACTCTATTAAAATATTGGAAAAAATTTTGCCATAAACAAGATTGGTACAATTAAAAATAGACTCAGTGTGTTCTTGTAACAAAGTCCACTATAAGCAAATGCTACTTTTAGCCCTGTTCAGTTAGTGTTAAACTATTTCATAATTATCATAGGTGAATGCAGCCGTGAAAAGACAGCATTTGACATCATTATTATGGGAAAGCCCCTCTGAGGTCAGAAGAGTCAGCAGAATGAAACTGCATGTGGCTGCTCTGCACATGGAGAGCAGGGGTCTCACAGAGGCTAAGGAGAGACGTGGAGGCACCAGGAGGCTGCTCCTGTCACATCATTCTGGAAGCTGGGGCTGCTCTTGCTGCTCTTCTTCAGCCTGAAGACGCCTGAGGACATAGAGGATGACCTGATAGCAGAAGATGTACTGATCCTGTGGGGGAGGGAGGGTGAGAGAGACTGATGTTAGATGTGCCACGTGACTGTCACACATTGTTATAACCACTATAGGGAGTGGTGTTTGGGATTTTAAAATTTTTAAATTTTAAGTCTGAGTATAAAGAGCAGGTTACAAAATTGATCAGTGTCATAAAAGTATTAAAAAAGCAGAAACTAAACTGAAAAAATGAGGAGGGGGAAAAAGCCTGAGGGC